AGCAGATGGTGGTGGGGTAGAAGTTAACAAAGTTCCACCAGCCCAAGTGTCTGGGGCTGCTGGCCTACATCTGTGGTGAGGGAAGTGGGCAGCAACAAATTTCCTGTGAGCTAAGTCAGTGACACATCAGGAGATGAGCTGCCTATAAAACACACCACTGTGGAGTCAAGGAAGCGTGGGCACTATTCCACATGTTGTGGCTGGGTGCAGGTCTTTCTGCTGGAGTGATGGCCATCAGCTGAGGAGGCAAAAAAGGGGAAGGTGACATTTCACATCTGGGTAGCCAGCTGGCAACTCTGGTGTGCTTCAGCAGAGCTGGGAGCCTCTCTGAGCAGCAGCTTTAGTCAGTGCAGGCCTCTCCCTACCTGACCTTATGCTTTCCCAAGACTTGTCTATAGAAATATTGGTGAATCAACTGAAGAATCTTAGTTCCCCTCTTTCTTTTGGACAGGTTGCTGCCTGTAGCAGGGAAGAGAAATTCAGGATGCACAAAACAGATCCATCACTCTGGGCAGCCTTGCAGAGTGTATCCAGGGAACATGTGTCAATACCCCTCTCCTTTCCCTCGTGGACAGGGCCAAGCATCCTCTGGATTAGCCTGCTGGTACAAAGCCAATATACATGGTCTGTTAGGGCTTAAGGCTGCTTAGCTGCTATGTAAAATACCCTGAGTACTTAGTCCATAAAATCAATGTGAGTTGTGTCTGCAGACTTGGGGGCAGAAGTGAGCCACTGCTGCTGATTTTCAAGAATTGTCTCTGCAAGACATTGCTTCTGCCAAAGGGAAAGTTGCCTTGGTTGTGAAATAATGGGCAAATACTTTTTTCTTCAGAAATAATCGGGTTTTCAGAAATCTATGTTTCTGTCAAGCCTAAAGAAAATATTATAGTTATTATATTCAGGAAGTTACGGCATTCAGCTGAAAACTGTTAGACTCATCTCCCAGAATATGAAACTTCAACAATAGCAAAATTTACATAACAGAAACCCTAAATATTCTTTACAAGTGCTGAGGATTTGACTGTTGTGCTAAAGGAGAAATACCTAATGATTCTAATTATCCAGTGACAAAGGTGAGGATTTTAGCTGTTTATTTCAGTTGCTCATTATGAAGGTAAATGTAAGGCTACTGTAATGCTTTTTAATATTCTTGAACTCATTTGCAAGTTTCAAGTGAAAAATAATGGCTGTGCTCTGTTCTGAAGATGGTTATAGTGTTACTCCATGGAAAGTATTATAGGTTGCTCAATATAGTCCAGTTCTCACATCACAGAGAAAAACTATTCAGCCTTATGTGTTGCAGATTATCCTCGCAAGAATTGTCCTACTGTCTCATAAAGTAGTTTGATGGCACCATTATTACTTAGATGATGAATTACCCAAGACCCAAATCTACTCTGCAAGATGAAATATTTTCAACTTAACCTAGATTTATTTACCAGTACAGAACATCACAGTGTTGTGCCACAGTAAGGAAAAGGGCAAGAAGTATTTTCCATACTTAAGGAAACTTTGTTCCCTCACACCTGCACTTACCCAAGTTTCACTTTTACGTTTAAAAGGAGGATAAGATAGGCTGAACGTGCTTTCTAAGAGAAAAATCATTTTGGTGGGTCTGTGTTAGGTGGAAAATGACTTGCATTGGGATCACTGACCTCCTTTTGGATCTTGTACAGTTACACAATGCAGTGCTTTTTGGTAAACTGCCAAGTCTCCTAATGCCAGGATATACTGAGATACAAAGGAAAATCCCAGATGTTTGAATGTCCCATGAAGGCTAGGACTTAGGTGCATGGGGCAAAGGGTTATGCTTCTCTTTTCAGCACCTTTTTTCCCAATCCCTGCTGATACCTGCTTGCCTGGAAAGCTTAAAGAAATGGGTTTGTGTGGTGGAAAGTAATGAGATTTCATCTCTTGTTGCATGCCCTTTCTTCTGCCAGGTTTTGCCTGAGAAAACTTGGTTTTCTTTGTTCCTTTCATTCTTTCAGAAAGTAAATATGGCATAATGTAACATTAAATGTTTAAATGTAGGAAAAAATAACCTAGGTGATTATAAAATAAATGAACCTCACACATAGTATTTATTGGGAAAAAGAAAAAAAAAAAATCTGGTCTTAACCAAACTGGAAAGCATAGATTTCTGTTAGAAGACTGGAGTATTCAATATTTTTGAGGATTATGCTAAATGATGGGCTATCCAGACTTATCTTAAAGCTAACACACTTTGCTTCCTTAGCATCAGGACACAGATGGATGGGAAAGATGACCCTGACCTCCATAAGACCCACATTCCTGTGCAAGGATAGAAGCATGATAATCAGGAAATGATGGTTATTAGTTACAGAAAATGCATTATTGTGAAAACCAGGAGAAAAGTGCTTATGAGAGGAAGTGATTGGATTATGGGGGAATGAGAGAATAAGACTAGGTCATTTCTACTGAGTAAATTGCTGTGATTTATAAGAGAAAGGGTATAGTGATATCATGGCCTCATATTGACTAGATTGATTTCACAAACAAACCTAAATCAGAACGTGGCAGTTAGTTACCCACTAAAGCAAACCCAGTTTTTAAAAAGATGGTTTTTGTAAGACATGAGACATGTTAGACACATTTCTTTTTCTAGTTTTCTTTCTTTCTAATTATACTGGTTATTTCAAAAAATATTCCTAAATTTCATCATCATTCAGTTATTGTCTAATACTGTACTTTTCATGATGAAAATAAACCAGCTGTTGATGCTTAGATGTATTTTAGATAAGTATCTTAAATACAGCAGACAATTAAAATTTTCTTGCAAAGATTTAAAAATGTATCAAATATAAACTGCATACGGAAATTATCCATATAAATAACTCCAGGTTGCATTGTGCTTTGAAATTATTTCACACCACTGTTGTCTAATGCATAAACCTAAAGTGACTTCTTGGGGGGAAAAAAAAAAAAAGATTAAATGATCTATTAGTGCTATGAAAAAGGAATGAAAAATTGTCCTTGAAACTTGGAGAGTTTGGAAACTAAGGCTAGAGAAGTTATATGTAATTTTATACTGGTTTTGAGATGTTTCACTGGGTGACAAAGGTAATACCCTGTCATAGTTACTGAAAGCATCGTTTACTCTGTTTAAGCAACATGTCTGACATGCATTAACTGCAAATTAAGCTTAACTTTTGCTAATTCTAGTTTTTAGGAAACATGCTTGCTGTTGTTTTTTATCTGTTCTAGCTCCCCAGTCAACAGCTAGCCTTCTCTGAGCAGCATAGGCTTTTATAGTTCATTCAGTTACACTCTTCATTCAGTTGTTCATGTTATTCAGTATTTTTGGGAACTGCTTCCAATGGCTGAATTTGATCCTGCCTACAAAGTCTAGTATATTCCTGCTAATCCTAGCACAGCAATCTATCTCCTATATCCAACATCCTAAACTCTTCATACGACCTTACCAACTCCCAAGTCTTCCTGTTTTATTCTGCCACCACAGTGCAAAATTTTTGCCTTCACAGTGCAAAATATATGATTTATCCTCATTAATCTTTCACACATAATTTCCGTAGTTACCTCCTTTCCTGCTGTTTTTCCTTTTCCTAACCTGTTTTGTACCTAAAAAACTAAGTAGCCTAGAATATACTCCAATTTTGCCCATTAAGCCCTCTTACCAATATGATTAATGGTGAAAAAATACATACTCATGCATTAATCATGTTTGAGAAAAGAGACTGCATCTTCTGATTCACATAGATATTTTATTATTTTTATAACAGACTGTTCACTGGTATGTGTTAATCATAGGTACATTTTTTCCTGATAGACAAAGGCACCACGAAGCCAACTTCTGGAAATACGTACAAATCTGTTGTTGCTTTTATAACAGGCTGTTCACTGATATGTATCACAGTTTGTGTGGGTTTTGTTTTTTTTGTAGTAGTAGATCCCCCAGAAGGCACCATGGAGCCAAGTTCTGGCATTAGCTACAAATCTATTGTCACTTCTATCCCAAATTTTAATTTTCCTGAAATTAAAAAGAAAAATGAAAAAGAAGTACCATTTACTGAGAACTGCTGTGTTGTTATTATGATTTCATTAATTTTTTATTCATGAATGAATAAGAAATAAATAGGTTAATTCACACATCACCCTAACAGAAGGAAATTTTAGGAAAATCCCATTTTTTAATGTGAACATTCTTGCCTGCTTACAATACCTATCACTTTTGTGTGTGTGTTTTCTGGAGTTTCTCAACATGTTACGAATAAGTTGAAATGAAATCTAGAAAAAGGTTTCTTCTGTATAAAATTATTTGTATTAGTACTTTCCAACATTGCTAGAATTTTTTTCTAGCATGCAGAAGACCTTGTGTTTGCACAATTTCTTGTTTGAATGATTTGTTTAATGTAAATATATTATGCTTGTCTAAATAGTTGTCTGTATTTTGCTTGTATCATTTAAAATGCGTGTAAATAATTTGTAATTAAAAAACCCTATAAATGGCAGTTCATGCTCTAGAGAAGTTGTAGTAGTCGCAATGAAAGACGTGTTTCTAAATCACACTGTATGCTTTATATATGAGAAAGTAAATATGATATAATTATTTAAGCAGTGTATCATGTTAAACGCTTGAAAAAAATTTACTTTCAAATTGAAAATTATTCTCTACTGGCAACTAAAATTACTAGGTTGTTTGTTGAGACTTCTTTGACTATGATTCACATACTTATTTTTTTCTACAGCTCCAGACTGTCCTCCAGAAAATGTGACTGCTTTAGCCACATCTCCTCACAGTATTAATATCACCTGGAATGAACCTGTCATCATTACTGGACCAACTTGCTACCTCATAGACATTACCTCAGTAAGGCAACTCTTTTTCATTGTTGGTAGTTATACAGATGTTTCGTGATACAAATACCACAGCCGATATTCTTACAGAAATTACGGGACAGATATCAACTGGATTGAAACACAATATACTGTGTCTATTTCCACATAAACTCCTCATAAGAATTAATTGTACATTTATAAATTCCTTAATGGGAGATAAATTAATTACTCAGTATAAAAAAAAAGAAGTGCTAATAAGGGGTCTTGGAGAAAAAACAAGTGTCACTATAAATGTATACAGGAAAATAGTAGCTGAGCTTTGCAGAAAACAGACCTGAGCTGAGCAATAATGATACTGTTTACCAGTAAAAATAAAAATTACTTTTTTCGTTCTTCAAAAGAAGGATAAGGTCATTGTCATGATTTTACAAACAAGAGTGGAAAGCCGAGCAAAAGGACTTGTACAAAGCTACACTGCATCAGAGTGAAGTCAGGCTAGACTTCCCACTTTCCACTTGATGCTCGTCCATCAGATTAGCTGTAATTTGGTAGCACAGCAATAACATTTCTTCCTCCTTGGTCTTTATAAGGAAAAAAAGGCTGACTTAAGAGTAAAGCTCTAGCGGCCTCTCTCTTTTCATCCTCTACTACCCTTACAATGCTCTTTAAAACAAACGTTAATAAACCTCATTTCCTGCCTGGTGGCAAGATATGAAACTTTCTAAGTTTGAGCATATGAGAAGTTTTGAGTAGGATATAGATTCACTGATTTCCAGAAATTATACAGACGAGGATATTAGTGAAAATGGGAAGCAGTTTACCAGACTTTACACAGGAAATCTTGCTGTTTGTGTCTTCGAAAGTCCTGAATCAGTTTGTTAAGTTTTAAATAGAAAATTCTTTCAATTATCTGAGAAGAGAGAAGGACTATTGTGTATATTTTCAATGTTTCTGAATTGGTCATAAGAATTACAGATTTGCTATAATATTACTGCTGAGATTTTTGTGCAATCAAAATTGCTGAAGAGGTCAGTAAAAAAAATACCAAATATTTTTAAGCTCTTCAGTAAAGCTGCGAGGGAGAGTAATGTGTGTAATATTTAATGAATTTCTCCTGTGACTGATAATTCCTGAATTATAAACAGGGTGTTATCTGATTCTACACTATGAAAATGTTATTAATACTTTATCAATATACATTATAGTAAAATTCCTAAAGTAAGAAGACCCATGGAATGTTTAATGTGAGCCTGTCAGCGTTTGGAAGGAACTTAAAAACCTGTTACAAATGTTCAGTTTGGCGGGCTTTGGTTTAGTTTTACAAAGTTGTTTGTTTGTTTCAAATATATTTCAGATATCTAGCTTTACGTTTAGTGATTCCTTGTAATCAGATGTTGTCTATCTAATTATCAGTAACTACAGGTGTCAGTTCTTTAGATAATCATCTCAGTAGACAAATCTATTCCTTCTTAAAGGCCAATAAAGCTGTCACAATCTTTTTCAGTGAAAATTTGAGTATATATTTTATTGTCCCAGTGGGCAATTTTTTATGAAGACTCCAAATTCCACAAACTTACTGTATGTACAACTTTACTCTTTCTAATTCTCAACTGAGTATCTTTAAGGATTTATAAAAATTGGCTCACAGAACAGAATTTCAGATTTCTACTCTGTGATGTCTTTATTCCTTAAAGGTAATAATTAGGATTTATTAGTGAATGTATTAGGGTTCTGTTTAAATTATTAGGATGTTCCTTGCAGTTTTGTAGCTCAGAAAAACTAAAAAGTACTCCCTCATTATTATTTCTCCGGGTCATGTTTTAGTTTGTCTTGCTGCCTACTACAGTTAGAGGTAGTCCTGGACAAAACATTACTGAAAATGAGTAAGGAAGATGAACCATTATACTTCAGGAAGAATAGAAATACATTTAATGATGTAGTGCTGTGATTGTGTTTTAGCTTTTGTATAAATATTTATATGCCGGATTTTTCACAGTCAAATAGGAAAATGTGTTTCAGCTCTAGGATGGCCATCCCAGGAAATGAATGTCTGTTTAGTCCATCAGAAAGTTTAGTTCAGGTTAATTCTCAGTAGGGATACATGCGTATCTGTCAAATAAAAGGTACACTTGAACTATTCTGTTTTAGCAGCTGCATTTAATACAGATTTCATCCAGTGGGAAAACTACCGTACAGCTACCTAATCCTCTCTTTCAAATTACACACTGATGAACCAATAATGAAAACATCATTAACTGAAGTAGTGGGAATAGACATAAAAAGAATTTTGTAGAATTTTGTGGTAGGACAAGGGGTAATGGCTTTAAACTTAAACAGGGTAACTTTAGGTTAGATATAAGGAAGAAGTTCTTCACAGTGAGGGTGGTGAGGCACTGGAATGGGTTGGCCAAGGAAGTTGTGAGTGCTCCATCCCTGGAGGTGTTCAAGGCCAGGTTGGACAGAGCCTTGGGCAACATAGTTTAGTGTGTGGTGTCCCTGCTCATGGCAAGGGGGTTGGAACTAGATGATCTTAAGGTCCTTTCCACCCCTAACTATTCTATGATTCTATGATACTTGATCAAATGCTAGAAAAGCTCTGATTTTTTCCTTCTTATCCTCTTATAACCTAAAATTGGAAGTGATTAATTGGATATGAAGCTCAACACAGTAAGTTTTTCCACAGAACTACAGATTATTTGAGAAGTAGGGATGATAGGGATCCCAGGACATAATCCAGTCCATATCCTGCTCTGACACAGAAAAAAAGTGTACCTAAAGTCTTCCTCACAAATGATTCCACACATTATGGTGTTCTTAAGAATTTCCAGTGATGAAATTGCTCAACAACCCTTAACAGCTTGTTCTAGTTTTCAACTAAACTTTTAGTCGTAATTTTAGTTACATATTTAGGTATATCACTGAAGGTTTTGTAAGTTTTAATTCTAATCATTTTTTGGTGCAAATATTATTTCTATTTTTGTTTTCATGAACACTAGAAACAATGGATTATCTTCAGTTTAGTAATGTCCTTTTTTATATTTTGAAGTTATTACTATCTATGTCTTCCACCATACTTCCTTTTCTAGATTGAATCCAAATTATTTCTGCCTTCTAGCTTTTCTAGTGAGAGAAGTAGTCCCTCCCTGCTGTCTTATAATTACTGCTTCTATTAATAAATCCCAGGAGGAATTGCATTTTCTGAAATCATATCAACATTATTTATTGCTGCTCAATTTTCTTTTTGTTAATTTGTATTCCAATATTCTGCTATACAGTTGTTCATCCTCTGGATCTTTGCCTAGGTTGATTCCCATTTCAGGTCACTAGAGCTCCCTTGGCCCAGTATCTGCCAACTGGTCCATGTTTGTTTGGTGGAAGACAGCACTAAGTAGGCAGCCCTTTTCCTTAATCCCAACTACATGAAGTGTTAGAGAGGCAACCCATGGATGAGATGGATGTGTACTGCCGTGTGCAACTTTCTAGTCTTGGTACCTATAATCTTTTTGTGAATCCTTCTATACAAATTATTAGAAAAATGGAAAGATAAATAACATGTTCAAATAGTAATATCCTCCTTTTGCTTGCTTCAAGTCTTGTAATTATTTTTTTTATTATTATTTTACAGGTAGATAACAACAATTATAAAGCTCAATTTATGAAGACAAATGATGAGAGTAAAGTCTTAGAAATTTCTGATTTAAAAGCATTTACAAGATATTCTGTAGTAATCATAGCCTTTACGGGGGATGTTAATGCTGCACTCCTTGAAGGCAAGGCTAGTTCTCCAGTAATTGTCTCCACATTTGAAGCAGGTTTGTATTTTTCTTTAGTTTGCATGAATCAAACTTTGCAGTTTTTCTTTCATCTGGCAAATAAACAAGAGTTTTGAACACATGGTGCACTTTGAATGCAGATGTGTTCTCATGGTATTTTTTCTTTAATATTTAAAAAGGTGGCAGTCAACAAAAAAGGGTGATGGTGATAAGAAATACTGTTTACCTTTAGTAATGCAGAGATCTTAATTTGCTTCCTATAAATATGGATGTGTGGAACACAGCCATCTAGATTACTTCTATAGTCAATGAAGAGAGGTCCTATCTGTATTAGCATGCATATATAAGATACCTGTTTTAGGAAAGGATGACTGCCCCTGTGGAGGTTTATTGAAAACCCCATATGATGTCCTTGGTCTTGATGCAAAATTCCAATATAAAAAAATTAAGTGAAGTAAGATCCTACCATTTATAAATGGCACCTGTACTGACTTGAGGATATGATCTGTGTATTCACATTTGAAGGAGGTTGCTAGTGAAGGCCCACAGGGACCTGTGCTCGAGTCAGCTGTTCCACAGATTCAAAACAATCTGGAGAGTGAGATAGATACTAAAGGGACAGAAGCTGCTGATGCTATTAAGTTACTCTTAAAACTGAGAGACTAGGGTGAGGAACTGTGTAAAGACTTCATGACACTGAGAGGCTATGCTACAGAAAGGTAGATAGCATTTGCTTAGGTATATATAGACATATGTACATGGGGAAGGTAGTCCTAGCTTTACATATATAGTCTCTGGTTATGCTCTAATATCTTTGCTGCCTTTGAATTGTTTACTAAGAATATTTAAACAAACAAACATACAAAACAACAAAAAAGTATTTTCTGAAGAGATATTGAAATTTTGTTTCATTCAAACTAATTATCAACAGTGTATAAACTACAATTGCCTTATCTCTAGTGAGGTTCACTGCAGGTCAGCTTTTTTAGCTGTATACTGAGTTTAAATTCAGATTTAGATATACTACACGATGGTTGTATTTGTCTTTCCTTTGATGTATGAAAATTTGATGTCCATAATATGCGTGTGTGTGTGTATATATGTATATATTTATATCTCGAATGCCTTTAATACCTTACATTCCAAGAATTTGGTGACCTGTTTATATCCCTAGAGGCTGATATGGCCTTTTACTGTGGAAAAATGAATGAATATATGTATGAAAAGTGAATGAAGTATTAGGTGGTAGCTGGGTCTGTCCTGTGAACTCTCTTTTTTGTAAAAATGTGATACATTAGGAGGTGCAGTAACTTTAGAGAGGAACAGTTATTTTTTTCATTTCTTCTTGTCTCATTTGGTTTATACATTTTAGCATATTGCTGAGTTTGGACCAGTTTAGACTGACTTACTCCAGGGAAGCCTGAGTAAGCGTTAGTTGGCTGGTGTAAAAAAACCTGCGAGGTATGACAACTGCATTTAAATCTGTGGCTGAGGGAATGTGTTTACCTTCAGTTTCTTGATTTCACTATTTAGAGGTCATGCTACATACTTGTCTGCTCAGGTAGAGCAATAAATATTTAGCTGCCTGGAAAGAATGTTACAGCCTTTTCATTTAGATAGGGACATTAGGAAAGTGATTTATACCTTTGCTGTCCTGAGAATAGGCTACTGGAATAAGCATTTGACAAAACCTGTCTTCAGGAAAAATGTGTGTTGTGTTTATGTCTGGGCATCAGCTTGTGGAAAGTTCTTTCCTGGATGGTTAGCTGTGATAAGCAAAGATCCTCAGCAGCATGGTAGCTTGTTTATATGTTGGGAGAGAAGCTGGCTGTTGACAGAGGGCTTTCACAAAAGGATACTCAAGACTAACACTTGCTTCTTGCTTGTCAGCCAATGCAAGGATTTGTTTACCCCAGATGTATTTCAAGGTATAACGGTGCCTTTAGGCTTTCTGAGTAGGAAATAAGAAGAAACTGCTCTGAGTAGAGACTGCTGAGGGTTATATAGTGATTATTTTTAATATTTCTGTCATTAAATGCTATCACTAACAATAGAATTTCACTAAGTATTTAACTTTTTATTGCTTTTATAAATATTTATATATGTAATAAGTATTTGAGATATTTTTAATAAAAACAGAAAATACCAATAAAATAATACTGATATGCAAAAATATAATTTGTCATTTTTCAGTTTTTACTCTAATAGTAATAGTAGTAAACTGAATATGTAGTTCATTGAAATATTTATTTCAGTGCCTGAAGATCCACCTAACAACGTAACATTTCAGAAGATACCAGATGAAGTAACAAAGTTCCAAGTAACATTTGTGCCACCATCTGAACCAAATGGAAATATTCAGGTGTATCAAGCTATGGTTTACAATGAAGATGACCCTGCTGCCATACAGATCCACAACCTTAGTGTCATTGATAAAACAGATCAGTCAGTCACTGCCATGATAGAAGGACTAAAAGGAGGGCATACCTACAATGTCAGCGTAAGAATTTATACTTTTTCTTTGAAATTTTCTCTTATATGAGTGAGAGATTAGTCTGAATAGGGAACTCAAACCTAGGCTGAATATGAGATTTTCATAGTGTTAGCTGGGATGCAAAGCTGGGGTATGTTAGCTGGCATATGAAGAGAGACAAGTCTGAGGAACGAGGGGAGCAATGAAGAGGACAGAGTGAGTTGGGAGCAGGACACATCATTAGTGGTTAGGTTTGTGCTCTGGATCACCAGTTCATGTGCCAGCAAAGCAACTTGTGACATATTTATGCAGGTACAAGACTAAATCTGTGTCTTAATTCCACTACTAGCATTGTTCATTTGGCTCAGGTGAAAAGTCTAGTTCTGCATGGGGAGCTTGCTAGAAGTATGTGCATAAAGTCCTTTCAAATAATCAGAGACTAGGACATGAGAGGAGGTGACAAAACTGTTTTAAGTGGGCTTGTAAGACCCCTTACTGTAAGAGCTACATTACAAGCAATGAAGTGTTATTGTGCTTAGGAATGTAAATAAATACAAAGTTCTAGCAAAGTGTGAATGAAGAGAGTTTTACCATTCATTGTTGGTTCAAATATATCCAGATTTGGCCACACTGAAGCTATTACAAATACTCATTTTAAAAAGTGTTTGGTTTTTTTTTAAGGTGTATGCAATTAATGGCGCTGGTGCAGGGCCAAAAATTCAACTGAAAATAACCATGGATATCAAAGGTATGTCTCATAAAGTATCCGTTAGCTGAAATCTCTGGCAATGCTGAAGAAATTGCTTTTCTACCTATACAGCTGTGTGCCTTTGTCTATTATATAGAGGCTGCATAATGTAGGAACGGGAAGACATAACTAATAGACTTTTACTGCACTGCTCAGTTTTGTTCCCTATCACTGATCATTTCCTATTTGTATCTGAACGATACCGTAAACCATGTGCAGACTCAGTGAAGTAATCATATTGACTTCGGTAGTTACCATCAGTGAACAGCTTAGAAGAATATTGCAGAAGTATAGGTAAGTATACAGTATCATAAATAAATAGTTATTGATTGAAACTCATTGAAAAACTAAGGCTCAGTCTTTTTATTGTCTTCTCTTTGAATGGAAAACTGATATGAAGAGTCGTTTTTCAGAATATAGATTTTAGAGGCTTAAGGCATTAAGCAGGACATTAGGTTGTCCCTGAAAATATGCTGAAGATTTGTCTTGCATAACACAGCTGTGTGCCTCAACAAAGTACTTGTAGTGAAAACATTTCAAAACAAAACTCTGTGGTATATCTTTGTTTAAAAACAGAACCACCACGACCTAAAAAGAAACCAGCACCAGTTTATGATACCAATGGGGCATTACTAGTCACAGATACAACAATGACAATCAGAATGCCGATATGTTATTACAGTGATGATCATGGCCCTATCAAGAAGATTCAAGTTCTTGTTGTGGAAGCCGGAGGTAAAATTTTATAAATTCTCTTGAAATTTGTTTTCAAGGTTTTTTATTTCTTTACTTTCAGGCTGTTTGTCTTTTGTCTTGTATTTCTTTTCTTGTGTCTCAGTAATTTCACGTTAGAAAACAATAAACAAAGTCACTTTAGCTGTGGCAACAGTACTAAGAGCAAAGTATTTTTCGTAAGACCTGTGGGCTGAGTACTGGATTTTGGGAATGCTTGCCAAGTAAGTATTATCCATGCTGTTTTAAGTCACCAGTATTATTCTGGGCCTATTGTTTTCATGACATCTCTTTATTTCTGATTTTCTTGGGAAAAAAATGCATTTGACATTTGTGAAAGGTAAATAAATCTGAAACATTTTTTTGCAAGGGTATTCTCCTGTTGCTATTAGTGTTGCCTGTAAAAGAATGTAAAATATCAACTGCAGTCATGTGCAAATGATATTTCCATTTCATAACGGGGGCAGAGGGATTTATATAAATCCTTCTGTAGACTGTGGGTTAGAATGTGTATTTCCTTGTATGGACTGATGAACATACCAACAGGGCCAGAATACTCTTTTGAGTGATTGCCCACCAATGTGGGCAGGAGTTTCATGGTAGATCATCATATGGTCAGGGTTACTTTACCTAGTAAGGACAAATTCCAGGTATTTAATTCATTTGTTTTGCCTCCAGTGAATGCACATTAAGTCTCTCAGCTTTTCCCGAATTTTGCATTTTAGCACTGATCCTGCAGACATTTACTTCATAGCTGTTGCTGTGAAGATTCTCTTGAATTGATGGATATGCAAATACCCTGTTAAGCAACATTTTGAAGATTTTTCTTCTGAGTTGCTGGGTATTGTCCACTTATGGAAATACAGTAATTTCACTTTTCACTGTCTTCAGAGTAAACAGTTTTTACTGTCTTTGCTATTCATGCTTAGTTGCAAAGTCAAGTAGCTTGTACAAGAGGTATCCTCTACAGGAAGAGCTCATGTGCAAGACTGCCCCTGGAATTTTCTAGTTGACTTACTATGAGTTAACAAAATGCAGATAACGTGGATAATAAGGAAATTTGGGTTCAATTGCAAGTACATTTATAGACTTGGTTTTGTAAATAGCAGTGATAGCATGGTAAGCTCTTAAAAAAAACGATTTCCTACTTAATTTCTTTAAATACAGTCTGGTTAGAATGCAAATTGTATCCGATTATTTCTTTTCTTGACAATAGCTCAGCATGATGGGAATGTTACTAAGTGGTATGATGCCTACTTCAACAGACCAAGGCCATATTTTACAAATGAAGGCTTTCCAAACCCACCATGTATAGAAGGAAAAGAAGATCTGAGTGGCAAAGAAGAGATATATGTTATAGGTGCTGATACTGCCTGTATGATACCAGGTAGTCAAGACAAAATATGTAATGGCCCACTGAAACCAAGAAAGCAGTACCTGTAAGTACATTTGTCTCTGTGTTTGTCCCAGAAAAAGATTTAAGTGAAATATACATTTATATAAACATACAAAATGTGTAGTTCAATTATGAAAAGACAGAGATTGAAATGCTTTTTGTGTATATCTGATTTTAAGTTTTCTGCCTGAGCATGAATATGGGAGACAATTTTTTTTAAATGTTTCAGGTAACAGTAGATGTTACCTGAGTTCTTAAATTAAATAAGCCCAAATTCAAGGTAAGTAATTAATAGAATTTGATTATACTTTTAAGATCTCTTGACATTGGGTCCTTGATACCTGTCATAATGTCACTTTAGCAGGTGAATAATGGTTCCAGCTTACGTTACACTAAAACTGACAAATAGCTTTTAGTTTCTATCCAGCTTATGTTACACTAAAACTGACAAATAGCTTTTAGTTTCTAAGTGAAATTAAATAAAATGAACATAAACTTTTATGTCATTATTTTTCTTGGTTTTATTTCACAGATTTAAGTTCAGAGCAACTAATGTTAAAGGACAGTTTACAGATTCTGACTATTCTGACCCTGTCAAAACATTAGGTGAGTGTAATTTACCAAAGTATTTCTCTATTTCCAAAGGATCTAGACAAATCCATGTTTCTTTTTAGTACAATAGTTTCCCTAAAGTAAATAATCTCTATTTTTGTTGGACCCAGTTTAAGCAGAATGGCTGAGGAAACATATCCCTTCCCTTTTGCATCCTTTTGAGGTTGTCAAGAGGTATCACCTCAGCCTGGACTGTTAAATGAAGAAGCAGTGTTGACAAAGTTTGTTAGAAGAGATTCAGTTACACCCATAAAATTACCATTTTGACAGGATGTCTCATCTTGCTTGGTGAACTGTCAGAAGATCTCCTGTTCATGTAGTTTTCCTTTGTGTTGGATGTAGAGCTATTATTGCGTGCACTTTGCTGGGTAAAAAGCTGACTGGATGTCCAGGCCCAAAGAATGGTGGTGAATGGAATTAAATCCAGTTGGCAACCAGTCACAAGTGGTGTTCCCCAGGGCTCAGTATGGGGGCCAGATAACATAGTTTACTGTGTTAACTATGATAAAGTTAACATCTTCATCGATGATCTGGATGAGGGGATCGAGTGCACCCTCTGTAAGTTTGCAGATGGCACCAAGCTGGGCAAGAGTGTTGATCTGCTGGAGGATACGAAGATTCTACAGAGGGATCTGGACAGGCTGGATCAATGGGCTGCGGCCAATGGTATGAGGTTCAAGAAGGCAAACTGCCAGGTCCTTCGCTTGGGCCACAACAACCCCATGCAATGCTCCAGGCTTGGGGAAGAGTGCCTGGAAAGCTGCTTGGCAGCAAAGGACCTGGGGGTGTTGGTTCTCAGCCAGCTGAACATCAGCCAGCTTGTGCCCAGGTGACTAAGAAGGCCAAGAGCACCCTGACTTGTATCAGAAATAGCGTAGCTACCAAGACAAGGGAAGCGCCTGTTCCCTTGTACTTGGCACTAGTGAGACTGCATCTCAAATACTGTGTTCAGTTCTGGGCCTCTCACTAGAGGAAAGACATTGAGGTGCTGGGGTGGGTCCAGAGAAGGGCAATGAAGCTGGTGAAGGATCTAGAGCATAAGTCTGATGAGGAGCAGCTGAGAGAACTGGGGTTGTTTGGCCAGGAGAAAAGGAGGCTCATGGGGAGACCTTATCGCTCTCTATAGCTACCTGAAAGGAGGTTGTAGTGAGGTGGGTGTTGGTCTCTTCTCCCAAGTAACAAGCGATGTGACAAGAGGAAATGACCTCGAGTTGTGCCAGGGGATTTAGATTGGATATTAGGAACAATTTCTTCCCCGAAAAGGTTGTCAAGCACTGGAACAGGCTGCAGGGATGGTTATCGTCATCCCTGGAGGTATTTGAACAACACATAGACAGCACTTGACATGGTTTAGTGGTAGACTTGGCAGTGCTAGGTTAACAGTTGGACCTGATAATCTTAAAGGTCTCTTCCAACCTAAATGAATCTATGATTCTATGACTCTATTTCAGTAACTCTAGTGTAGGAAACCTTTTGGCTGCAGATCAATCCTTCTACTAGCAGCTCATCGCATGACCCTTTAGCCTTTCATCCTTTAGATACAGACAAAGCCCCATATTAATTAATAAATTGATATCATCTAATAGATTCCCTCTGATTCTGATGTCACTGGCCAATAGGCTAGCTGTTATGGGGTCTCAAATCCAGCATACATTCCTTCATGGCCATGTTGAAGGCTTGTAGGAGATCATAGTAAGATTTGTACGTTCTTTTAATATATTGGTAAGCCAGAACTTACTTAGCTAAGCATTAACCCTGACTTACTGAAAAGGGATCCCAAGACAACTGGATGAATACCCAGAAGAATTTTAGTGGGCACATATTTTTCAGTTGGCGTTTATCTTCTGTGATATGAGCTTCCTTATTCATCTAATACATGTTTGAAATTTGTTACATGATCTGATACTGAAGATCCTGCTAATTCACTACCTGAATATTCTGAAAGGATCTGGCACCATTCCACTAGCCCTGAATGTTTTGAAAAGTGCGACACAAAAGTTATCTTTGTATCTTCTGACTAGAAAAGTTCTAAGCCAATGATGCAAATAGTTTGCCCGCTAAGGGAAAGACAGCATGTCCAGTTGGGGAAAACAAGTTTACTGGAAATGAGTCCAATTAAATCCAGTACTCTGGGCAACTTTCTCCTTTCTAACAGAAAAGTCTGTAATGCTTAAGGAAGTCATGCTTTAGTGACAGACAGATAATGCAATTAATTCACTTCTGCGTTGTTACTGAAAACTTGTGACGTATTTTCCTTTGGTGTAGATTGTAAATAAGCAAGATGTCTTTGTATGCTGAATAAAATGGAATAAGAAAAAAAGTAGACCTGATAAATTCCTCAGGTATCCATGGCTCCTCATACCCACCCAGTGCCTTCTGTGCTAAAATTTAATGTCAAGCATTGCTTTTAAAATGAGGACTATGGAAAACTCTTGTCTGGCCTTAACTTCTAAATTTCAGAAGAAACTTTTCCAACAAGAAACAAAACAAGTGGAAAAGATAAGTAGAAGTTCCTTCAATACTTTCTTACAAGTGTGGTGAAATACATCAAATTGATATATCACAAGGGATGCAGGTACTGCAGTTAAGGTACAGCCTTAAAGACACAGCACTGGCAATGCCATTACCAATGTTGTCTTAAGTGAATAAAGGAAGTTAGATTTTGTTCAGACACATTTTCTCTTGAGACACATAACCTGAGGAACCTTGCCCAAATGTTTCCTTATAGAATATGCTCTGATTATTTGACCTTCAGACTTGCTCTAGAAGCATAACCCAGAAAATATACCAGAAAGATCAGTAGCTGTTAAGTATCTTTGTGACCAATTACTTCTATTCCACTTGTAAGAACAGCATCTTTTCAGAAGAAATTTATGCTGCCTGAAATCAGTATTGCAATTTAACTACAAATAATTATCCTTCTCTGTAATAATCACTGAAATTTGTGTTTTTCCAACATTACACTTTCATTTAGTAGATAAAATACTAATTTGAATTTTACATTATTTTGGTTTCTAAGTCTGCTTATAGAATAGGTGGATCTGGGAAACCAGAAAGCTAACCTTGTATCTGTGCGATTTAATACTACATGTTAAATGTGCCAGAAGTGTGAAAAAACTATGGAAAACCTCTGAGAGAGTTCTCTGTGTCAGACATCAGATGCTCTCAATAAACAATAAGAATTTTGCTAGGGAGGAACACTGAAGCAGAAATTATTGCAATACACAGCTGCAATAATGATTGTTTAATTATAGTGAAGATACATTTTAATATGGTGCTCCCACTCAACCATACTTGGAGTACCACAACTCTCCTCTTGAGCTGGAGAAGTGGAGTTTCTTCCTTATAACCCATGACTGACATTGCAAATGTAACATCCATACTACAATGAAAGGTCAAGATTTTTCCATGAGATAATTAAGATGTGGTGACAAATACTGTTTAAACTTCTAGTACATCAAGGCAGTTTATAACCTTTTCATAAACTCTGATAGCTAGTTCAGCAAATCACTGTGGGGCAGCTGGTAGTCCTGTGTAAGTGTAGACTTCTTCTATGTGAAATACACAGCTGATGAGACAGGCAACAATCAAAACGAGGTTTCCTGACATTGCCTTTTGCATAGAAACTTACCTTATGATATTCTATTGTTGCAGTTTGTTATCGCCAGGTACTGAGTTGTGGCTTCTAAGAATTACACAGCATAATGTCTTCTGTTTTGTCTCCTTTTCCTTGCCCATGATCATCTCTACACACATGTATAGTCCTTCCCTGTTGTAAAGAAGTAGGAGAAAGTTATTTTTGTATTCTTGGTGGGTATTCTGCCACCACTGTTTTGTTTAATAGCATCGGCAATGTTTGGACTGATGTTAACTGTAGGGTTTATCATTGACTTCACTGTTTAGATAGATAGATATAACTTCTGTAGAGGCTCTTCTGGAGGTGCTTCTGCTCTTCCTCAGCATTACTAACATTTGGGCCTTATCACAGAGAGCAGTGAGTGGCAGAGACATTTTCATTCCTTTTCTCCTTGCAACATTTTTTTATAGACACGCTTTTCTATTCTCTTTCTCTGGCCTAAATTGTTCTTACCTTACAGTGAATCATGGCTGCACTCTTTAGAATTGTGGCTCTTCCTTTTCCACTTCTAGAGTTTGATTACTCTGTTAGAGCAGTCTGTTCTGAGCTGAAGCACGCGCTCAGCTTAGGCTAGTGTTCAGACTGATGTTACTGCAGTGTAGACCTACCTTCACCTGTTTAACAGGTAAAACTGAAAAGCACCAGGGGATAGCTGCACACATGGCTGTAGACATGTACTATTAGCATTATGTATTACATAGAGCAGCAATGCTTAGGAACCTTTACATAAACTGTTTCTGCTTTTGTTATATATTTGTTTCCCAAGCAGCACTTTTACTGACACGAAATGGATGCAGTTATACAGAGAGAAAAGTCTCCCATCGCTCCCTGATTTCACCCTGTCTGAAAAGTAAAAATTGTAATGAGTCTATGAAATACCAAATTTCTGCTTTCTGTTCCAGGTGAAGGAACTTCAGGAAGATCTGTAGAAGTTTTTCTCGCTGTTACTTTGTGTATACTTTCAGTTGTTCTTTTTGTGGCTGCAGTATATACTTTTGCAAGGTGAGATTTGTGTATCCTTACCATAACATGCTTGCAAGCATTCAAAAATGCTTTAAAGAGTTGAAACAATCCTAGAAATTGATCTAATCTATTGTTGTTGTTGTCTTTCATATAGAAACTTAAACGGGGATTCACAAAGGCTTTAGTCTAGTGAGGGTAACCTCCATAGATGAAGGAGAAAAAGCAATTTCTCCAGAGAATAAATCGGAGCAGTAGCCTCTCTTACCCTTTCAGAGCCACTTCTCTATTGACTTGAGGATACAGATCAGGGTGTCAGCTGGCTGAAGTTAAAGTGCTGGCTAACGCTATTGACAGTTTGATATAAAGTAACTACTCTAAACTTTGTTTTCTGTCTTACTAATAAATTTATCAGTTAAATACTTTGAAGTCTCACATGTGAAAGAAAAATTGAGTTTTAGTTCAAATTGTGAACAAAATGTCCATGTAAAAAAGCAGACTGGGTACTGCATGTATGATGTTGTCTGCTCATTCATCAGAAGTTCTGTTCTTCCTCAGCTGCATCATTCAGGCATTGCCAAGGAGTTTACATAGGAAAACTAAGAATATATAGTCTAGATTCTTTCCGTATGAATTTTAGACAACATAACCATGGGATTTGGCTAAATTACACTGTTGGAAGGGACAGCAGAATAAAAGCCAAGAAAGGATTCCTGACAAGCAGTTTTCAGTTACAGCCTGGCTAATTAAGGTATTGACATATGTGTCCTTAAATCTTTCGCGTGTTTATTTTTCACCATTTTTTTTCTGTTCAGAATTCGGCAAAAGCAAAAAGAGGGAGGCACGTACTCCCCACGAGATGCTGAAATTATTGACACTAAGTTCAAACTGGATCAGTTGATCACAGTGGCAGATCTGGAGCTGAAGGATGAGAGGTTTACACGGTAAGCGTACTCCTTAGGCAAAACAGTAGTCCAAAGGGGCTGTAGCCATGACCCCTTTGTGACCTTTGCTTGTTTGGAAGTGTTTGTGGTGTTCTTTATTTACACAGGTCACTGAGATCCCCTTTCAAAGAATGACCTCCATCCTCAAGACACTTCTCACTCACTTTTAGAAAATCATTTAATCCTCAGCTCTTTCTACTACAGGATAAAGATCTAAGTGCAAATCACTGTTTAATTGTGTTACCAAAAAGAGGGCTGCATATTTTTAAACATGCAGAATTTTCTGAGGTTTTTTGATGGCCCAATGTTTTGTGCAGCCTGCAAACCTACATAAGCATTTTGAGAGTCAAACTCCCAGAATTCCCAGTCAACTAATTCAAGAACAAATCTGTCATTGTTTAAGTGACATTCAGAAAGCATGGACAGTTTTCTTCTTTTGGGGTTTTTTTGTTTGGTTTGGGGTTGGTTTTTTTCCATAAGGGAATTTGTATAATATCTGGGTTGCCATGTGCTCAGCAACCTACCTGTCCTGACATCTACTCCTTTAAGGTGTATGCAGCAATTCCAGGCTATTCATATTTTCTGTCTGACAAAGAATCTTATCAGGTATTTATCATAAGGAGAATAGCTCTTTCTGACTGCCAGAAACATGGATATTATTCACCAAATAAATATAATAATGATTCTCAATAATATATGACATCCAACTGAGTTAGAAATGTTTGGCAAACGTTCTTTACCTGCCTGTATTTTCCCTGCTGTGTCAGAGATGAAACACTGTGGTAGGCAGTCTCCTTAAAGATGAGAAGCCTAAAATAGTCTCGCCCTAGCAGTCAGGCATCCTACTGTTGCAGACTAGGAATAGCTGGAAGATGAAAGGTTGTAGCTGTTGATCTGTTTTGTTTGAGTGTGTATGTCTATGTGTGTGGTACAGAGTAAGTTGATTGCGTATACAAACCTGTTCAAAATAGTGCACACAGGAATGGCTGCTTGTAACAGATGAGAAAGCATACTAAAAATTGTCTGGAAATCATGTACATACAGGATGTGGTATGTTCAGCGTGGGTTACATGTCATTCAGATAGCATTGTTTAGTACCTGCTAGTAACAGCAGAAAACATTCTCTGAAGACAGAGCCATTGCCAGTGCACTGTGATAACTGTGACTCATAAGTAATCTTGATGGATCTTCAAAATGGCCTTGTTTCCAAACTGTTAGCTGAATAAGAGTAGTATTAATTGTGTTTATATACTAAAGTGTTAATGGATTTTACTTCCAGATACTCTTCATTTTTCTTTAGACGCAAGGAGATATTTGTCATCCAGTAAGTTTTTTGTATTATTGAAGCAACATGGTGTGTTTTCCATTGTGTTCTCTTGTGTGCTACCATGCTACTTTCAATGATATAGTTAATTAAAATGTCATCTTCGCAGCTATACTAATAACAGTGATATTTGTCATCGTAAAATCATGTTCGTAAAATCATGTCCCTGATGTTAAGGTACAACAGTTTCTCAACTATTTCGAAATAAATCAGGTCAATTTTTACATGGAAATTATAACACATTATGACAATATAGCACTTATATATACAACCTATCCTTGAAGCCAAAGTAATGCAAATGTGACGTAAGAAACATGTTGTTTCCTTCCTTCAGCAGTTAGCAGTTAGAATGTATGTAATTAAGAGAAGTTATCTTTTTCTTCAACTGCATTTTGTACCCACTTACACTGCAGCTGTTTTGTACTATGCCACTTCAATCTCAGCAACATATCCACACAGTCCCATCCTTTATCAGTTTGCAGAGAACTATTCTGCTACTTTGCTGTCTAAATTATGTGTACTTTAAATTTGTACAGTCTCAAACTCTACAGGGTAATTGCAAACTATAATATTTCATACTTATATAGTTTACATTCATTATGTGATTTATGCACAGCAAAGCCTTTTCTGAACAGTGGATTTTAGTTACATCACCCTTATTTTAACGAGTCAGTCTCACATTTTGTTTTGCAATTTGTCATGTCCTTCCATCTGTTTTTTTCTCCTTCCTCCTTCCCCACTCCTTTAATGGACAAAAGGAAAGACTCTTTTCTTCTGCCAGTCATGTAAGGTACATGATGCAGCTGTTAAATTTTGGATTATTATTTTTCAAACAGTAGCAGCACTGAAGCTGCAACAGGCTCCTTGCCCAGGTGCTTTGTTGGGCATTAAACCACATTGTTGAAGTTTGAAATGCAGGCACTAACTGAGAGTTCCTCAGGACAGGATTCACAGAATCATAGAATAGTTAGGGTTGGAAAGGACCTTAAGATCATCTAGTTCCAACCCCCCTGCCATGAGCAGGGACACCACACACTAAACTATGTTGCCCAAGGCTCTGTCCAGCCTGACCTTGAACACTGCCAGGGATGGAGCATTCACAACTTCCTTGGGCAACCTGTTCCAGTGCCTCACCACCCTCACTGTGAAGAACTTCTTCCTTAGATCTAACCTAAACTTCCCCTGTTTAAGTTTAAAGCCATTACCCCTTGTCCTACCACTAGAGTCCCTAGTGAAGAGTCCCTCCCCAGCATCCTTGTAGTCCCCCTTCAGATACTGGAAGGCTGCTATGAGGTCTCCACGCAGCCTTCTCTTCTCCAGGCTGAACAGCCCCAACTTTCTCAGCCTGTCTTCATACGGGAGGTGCTCCAGCCCTCTTATCATTCTCGTGGCCCTCCTCTGGACTTGCTCCAACAGCTCCATGTCCTTTTTATGTTGAGGACACCAGAACTGGACACAGTACTCCAAGTGAGGCCTCACAAGAGCAGATCAGAGGGGCAGGATCACCTCCTTTGACCTGCTGGTCATGCTTCTTTTGATACAGCCCAGGATACGGTTGGCTTTCTGGGCTGCAAGCGCACACTGCCTGCTCATGACGAGTTTCTCATCAACCAACACCCCCAAGTCCTTCTCCGCATCTTTTCAACTGGAAGTCAATAAATGTACTGTGGGACCCTACTAGCTAACATGCATATAATAATAAGGGATGAGATATCTCTTCTCTGCTCAAAGTCTTTTAGTTTATTACAGCTTTTTTGTAAGCTTTAAAGAATGTTTCAATACGTGGAAGATTCTATTCTGGTAATGTCAGTGACCAAAAATGACTTTTTAGGTGTCTCTAAAGCTGTCTTTCATATAGATAGATGCCTCCTTCCTGGTAATGATGAGTTATATCAAGAAACAGGCAGAAGCATGGCAGCATGCACAAAGGCAGCTTACTGCAAAACCTAATGTCTAAAATATTTTTGCTCCCTCTTTTCAGAGTTCCAGTGTTAGTTACACTACAAGAAAACTTTTGTACCTGATGCCTTTGGGGAGTAGCTATGTAAAAGTCAATCACAGTCCTAGTTCTTGTGTTGTCCTTATCATTCTCATAATTTGTGGTTAAAGTAGTGACATGTTAGCATGTTAAATTATTGTATTACATGTTGCTGACTGCAGTGGAAAAGGTCTGTGCATCACTTAACATACTGCTATACAGCTGTGCTATACTCTCAGCTGTTCGCAAAGCTTGCTGTGTTGCAGAATGCTAGTTTCCGTTCATGGCATCTTGTAATTGCATGAGGAAAACACAGAGGGGCAGACTCCTTTTCCAGGCTTGCTTGTTTGGATTTCCTGGATAGCAGTACATCAGCTGAAATTTGGTCCAACTAGGTACACTTTCTACCCTGAAAGGGTGATAGGGAGTTCGTGTGTAAATCTAAGGTGATAAAAGGGCAGGAGAGATTTTTTCTTTACCTACTAATCATCCCATTTGGTGCTCATTTGAAGGAGATGCTTTGGAAGCCAGGTGTTTTGTCATTTCTCAGCCAGTATATTATTTATCACGTTAGCTATTATAAATCAGTAAAGGTATGGACTTGCAGCTGACACAGTTCATTGACAGAATCAAGATACTCTAGCCTGCTCCATGAGATCCTTCTTGACTTTCTCTCATATATTGTCTCTTCAGACATTCTCTCATACTTAGTGGATCATGGCCTCTGATCTTGGCTCATATTCTCAGAAAATTTGTGCAGCTGGTATCACATGAGAAGTAAAAGGAAGTAGAAAAAGATTTTTCTGTTCTATAGGAGTATGACTGGAAATATTTTTTTATCATTCTTAGCAGATCAAAAGTTCAACAGCTTGAAAAGTTCAGTGAACCTAAACTCAGCAAATGTTCAATCTAGGTTAATCAAAACATTTCATTTCACACATTTTTATGACTTTTTTAGCGTGAATTATTTTGCATTACTAAAGTCAGTTTAAGTAGAAAAAACATCAAATGTAAAAGCACCAAATACCTCATTTTGCCAGTTTTGAAACCTTTTCTGGGGTCAACATTTTTTTCAAATCAGGAAATTCATGGCAGATCCCAGTTCCCAGTAGTAATTTCTTAAAACAATGGTCATGAGAAAATAATTTACTTTAAAGGCTTCAGTGCTGGAAAAATACTAATACTAGCTCATATACACCATCTTTCAGCAAGTCTTTGTTAGGCAATTAATTAACAGGATGTAGTTTCAGAGGGCATGCAGGGAATTAGACTCTACTCAATTCAGTGGAAAACAAGATCTGCTTTATGAAGCCAAATGCTAACTTTGAATGTTTGGACATATGTTGATCTCCATGCTGATGGAGCTGGTATGAAACAGGCAATAACAAAAAGAACAACCCTTGTTTAAAACATACATAGCCCATCAGTCTAAATAGAATTAAACACTGGTTCATTAAGCACAACGAATATCCGAATACTGTGGCCTCTCATCACTTACCTTTCGTAACATGCTCATAGGGTTTGGCAAGTCACATTTCCAAGCAGACACTCATCTGCTGTGAATAGATTCCATCTCTAAATTTTCAGGGTACACCAGGTTGGTGAGAGACTAACTCTTTCTTGTTCCTGGTGCTCGCCTAGGAGACAATTTCTCTGGCACCCTCCTTTTGCAGTGGTTTCTGCAGCAAGGATTAGGCCATGTAGGTCCCCATTTCTCAAAATCTTTTCCTGAGAAGTTGCAGCTTGTGGTGGATGCTTTGAGGCTTTTGTTTCATTCTGTGTGAGACAGCTTGTCAAGCAAATAGGGCACAGATTTAGAAGAAATATTTCTGCATTACAAACACTGTAACCGTTGCAAACACCAGATAATTAGAACTCCTTATAGGAAAGTATTGCATATGAAATTATTGTCTGATCTCACCTTTCCTATATATTGTACATTCAGTAGGCATCTGCATTCAACATAACACTCCTGCACACACATTGTTTTCTTTAGACCAGCCTGTTTCTTCTTTCTTTGGGTGGGGATGGGCATAGCTCCTGCCTTGCCTTTTTCTTCAACAAGTTTCCCTTTAGTAATCAACTATCAAAAATAGGCTTCATGAGCTTTGTATCCCAGGAGTACAAGGTTTATGAATGTACATGTGCTGGTACAATGGCAGAAATGACATGTGTTTAGGCCTTTAATATTTAGGAAGGGTTAAGCTCCATATTGCTTTCAATTAACTTGCTAAAAATTAATTCCTCCGTTGGTCCTAGGAAGTGTCAGTGGTGCTTATGAGTTAAGCCTTTTGCCTACATACTCATTTCTGTTGTTTTCTATTTGGACGAAGTTTTAATTCCCTGTGGATTTCAGATGATTGACCCAGAGAGAAAGCTGAGTCTGTGTGACAATATGGTCTTCAGTTACCACTGCCAACACAAATAAATGGCTTCTTTCTAGCTCTATCATAAGTAATCTGAGTGGGATTCAGATTTTTGATAGACTTCAAAAAAATCCCACACATGAAACAATACACTGTTTTAAAAGAAAATCAGATTTAAGGTCATAAAGCATTCTTTATCTTAGGGAATGTTTTTCTTTCCTAGTTTCAAAGTCAGACAAGTGGGAATCTGGAATTGTCCAGCTGAAATAGGGAAATTTGCAACTTCATGGTTTGATTCTAAATTGAGCTTATCAAGATCTAGTGATATATTCTTATGTTTTATACAAAAGACTTGGAAAGGTGGAGAACAAGTTTACAGGTAGATGAGTATTTGTTCATTGATGAAATACCGTAAGATTGTTATGACATACTGTAAGTCAAGAGACTTGGAAATAATACTGATTTTTAAAGCCTGATGCTGAAACAGAGCATAGCTGTAAGTCCTTACTGAGCATATGAAATTCTTCTCTTCTATAAAGCCAACATCTTTTCCACAATCTTCAAGTTAGACATTAATTCTCACATAAACATTTACATGAAATAGTCTTATTTTCTTAGCCTCCAAGTTACTGCAGCGTGTGATTGCTACCAACAAAAGTGTGGGTTCGGTAGTTCTAAAAATCAAGTTCTTCATTTAAATGCCCACAGATAGGTTCAAGAGTCAATCTGTAGGTGCCTTCTTTATAAATGTTTAGTGCTTGTGAAAGATACTATATAATTATGCCTTAAAAAAAATATATCACCTGTTATTAATATTAAAAATTAACTAGAAAACAACATATGGAACACTAAGTGCTTAGTTCATTTCCTGAGCTATTTCAGTGCTTTTCTTCCCTGCTTTGAGTGAAAGTAAAAAAATGAAATATTGTTGAGTAAGGTGGTGTTAGTTGTGCTGCTTGTCTCCTCTGTTCTTTGCCTTTGGATCCATGTACCTTCAGCGCTGAAGCTCTAAATGGTATACTCAAGTTGCTTATGTACAGTGTAGATATAACTTTTATTCCCTATGATCAAACTGCATCTGCTTGCTGCAAATTAGGTGCAGTAAGCCCCTAACTGCTATCAATTTGAGAGGAGGAAAGCCAGTAGTATTAAAAAAATCACTGGGATGTCAACTGGGAGATGATAGTTTTTTCTGTTTTTCTGTTGTTCTCTGGTGAGGATAGGTGAATTCCAATGAAAAACAAATGTAATTTCTTGGCATAAACTGCTTATAATTTTCTCCTAAAAAAAAAAAAAAAAAAAAAGCCAAAAAAAAGTTTACTTTCCACTCAAAGACAAATAAATTTGAGTGCAGTACACTATCACCACTATGAAGAATACTTCTTCAGGAAACTTTAGCTCTGTAATGTTGCCATTATGTTGCCATTATTACTAGGAGGTAGTTTCATCTGCCATGTAATACAAACAATAAGCGCTGGCTAGATGTCTGATCAATCTGAATAGACCTGCATGTGTTGTCATCTTCTTGCCTTTTTCATTCTAAAGCTCTCCTTCACTTATCCTCGTAAACTATGTTGTCACTTCGAGTTTGAGCCTTTCTCTGTGAATTCTTATACTTCTTTTTACTCCAGTGAGACTGACCCAAGGCTTTCATAGCCAGTTTACTTTGTGTGCAGAGAACTGTCACAGCAAAGTATGTACTACAAAGGCATCTTCAGTAGCTTTGAAATTAATTTGTCTGATATTTAATAATAAATGATTCAACAATTGTATTAATCTGTTTTATTATTTCATTTAAAATTTTAATATCTAATAATAACTTCATAAATAAAAGTATTTTGAAAGCAAATTGTTGTCTAGTAAAATTGTGGCAGCAGTAGACATTTGTATTTGTATTATAAAATAGGTTTTGTAATATTTGTGTGTAAGAATGTATGATTTTTGGAGAGACAGACACATAAAAGTATACTTAGATCTTTTTCAAAGGGGCAAGTTATATTTTAAACTGTATAAATTCAAACTTTTTGGCTTGGTCTTTCAGACAAGCTTTGTGAGTCTGAGTGCCCAAAGTTTGGTGTCTAAATTCATAATGCTGAGACATTCTTAAAATGGGTTTAGAGGTGATGATGATGATGACCAAGTTTCAAGGCCGTTTGAAAGTCCCCTGAGTATAGATGCTCATGTATCATCTTTATGAAACCTGCTGTGGGATCAAGTTGAAGATTTAATATGTAGCATAGATTTTAAATCTCTATGCCCCAAAAAAAGCAGTGAACGTGTAAAAATGAGCATAAAGACAGACACTCATTTTAAAAATATTTAGGAAAACAGCCATAGCTGTTTGGCTTCTGTAGAAGCACACCTGCAGCATGATTCATTTGTGACCTATTTTAGATATTGCTTAAAATGAGATAAAATCACACCTATTTCTCTTCATTGATAATAAAAGGAATTTAGAGTGACTAGCTCAGAAATAGGTGTCAGTATTAAGTCAGATGAATTCTATTCTTATGCTCTGAAATGGCCCTTAGAAGAACAATATTGAGTACATAGTGTAAAATGAAGCCTATCAATGCATATGAAGAGATGTGCTTGAAGTATGGATTTCCCAGGGCTGTATAAGCCCAGAGCACTGTAAAATGGTCTGAAGAGAATGATAGAAACTGTAACTACCATATCTGTATCTGCCAATACCGGAGATAAAAACAAAGCAAGACAATCACCCAGGATATCTAGTATTTGAATCCATGAGAGAAATGAATCTGGCACTTTAGTTACTTGAGTATTTAATCTAAAACCTATTAATATGCATGATATTGGTTAATTCTCAGCTTGCTACATTTAACAAAAATCTCTGTTGCAGGTTGCTTAGTTATAGAAAATCCCTCAAGTAAGTTGATTAAAGAGTTTTATATTGTGGTCATCGGTGAGTCTCAATGTGTGGTTCTCTCCTCTGTTTATTAGGAAAAAACTCCAAGCTGCGTATAAATCATAAAAGCATGACTAATTGCATGGTAACTGGAGAAATGCTTTCTCTCTCTCTGGGGTGAAGCCTGCATGTCTGTGTTTTAGCTTGGGAAGTAATACAGGGATATTTAAACTCCTCAGGGTTTAAAAACCATGTCATTATGAGAATGAGGTCACTGCAATATTTTATATGTCTAAAACCTTGCAATATATAAAATGTTTTCTGTGCGACAAAGAAGTATTATGTACTTTAGAATGCAATGGTAACTTTACAAATTTCCACTAATGTCAAAACCTTGCCTTGGAATGCTGTTACCTATGAAAACAATCCAACCCTACAGTACTGTTAACATTAGCCACATTAAGAATTTGGTGAGGGGAAAAACAATGGGAGAAAATGCTTCTATCTTAAGTGACTGAAAACAAACCAAATAAGCACGCTGTAAGCAATTTACAATGTTCTGCCTCTAAGTATCAGTTTCTACTGAACTGAAAAACATTGTTTTATTAATAAACTGCGGTTAAATAAGAATAAAAAGAATGACAGAGAAATCCCCTATAGGTTTCTAATTCTTCTGTCATTACTTTCAGGCCAGTAAGCAAGAAATCCTTCCTACAACACGTTGAAGAGCTTTGCACAAGCAACAACCTAAAGTTTCAGGAAGAATTTTCGGTATGTTGCTAGCAGTTGTCACAACATCGCAAGACCTTCGGTCGTTTCATGTGTCACATTTCATGTCCATTTTAAGCAGGCAAGGCCGTGAAGGACTCTGGCCTTGATAATCAATACCCAATTACCAGGTTGATTGTTTAGAAAGTAATATTACACTGATTTGGATTCTTCAGTCTACACTGCAACCCGATCAGAATTATTCACCTAAGTGTCAGCAAAAGATGATCTTCTCTAGTCTCTGATCTTTGCAAGAACACCAAATATTTATGCTTTTACATATGTAGCAGTGCATACACAGTTTACCTGACAACAGCTTATTTAGAAATATTTTTCTAACATATATACAGATGTATTTAACTGCTTTAAATAAGTTCCTTTTCCTGAGTGATGATGAGCCCAAAACCAGAACTGATATTTATTTTGTGAAATATTCAGGCCCCAGTCATACTGCCAAGGAACTCAGAAATGTTTTTCTTTCATAGGTTTCAATGCAGAAAGTAAAAAGGTTGTGCATGGTACTTTGCTTTTTGTTCCTCTACAAATAATGGGTCATACTTGTCATGCTCTTTAGAATCGCCTCCATATGAATAGCCTTCATCTCCTTATGTGAGTAGATGAACACAGCAAGCCTGTCTTTCCTTCTGAAAAGAGACCAGCTTTCAAAATATATGTTACATATAATGCATATACACTTTCAATTTAAATCTCGAAGTTTTCACTATTTTCATTAAGTAACATTTTTACGGCTATCATATTTTTTTTTCTCAACAATATCTTCTCATTATTTCAGAATCTTTATCATCATCATTTTTAACACATACAGGCATTTTCCCCCACAAAAATAATTTGTCAGTCTCCAGTGACTGTATTATTTTGGATTTATAGATTTACCATGAATGGCTTAGCAGTTGGATTAATGAAAATGAAGACTCAACAACTGGCTTTTCTTCTGCTAGATTATAATATTTCAGTCTCTAAGGGAAAACCAACAAAAGTGTGAAAAGATTAATGGTATTTCCTACAGCTTTTTTTGTTATGCTCCTTAGGTAAAATTGGTCTGGATTTAACAATAAAAAGCACCATACAATTCTCTGAGCAATAAAGTAAGAACTTTTTTCCAAGAGCAGAAGTGTTATTTCACTTGAACAAGAGTGATTATAGTTATATTATGCATGACTGAACAGATGAAAAGTTTTACTAGCAATAACATTTTCACATATTAAAGTTCATCACTGGAAAGTTCCTAGTATTGCTTCCTTGAGGTGTGACCCACATTGGTAAGCCTTACAGCATTGTAATGCCTTTAACAATAGTGTTTTATCAAATCAAAATCTTGGCAATCCATTTCAAATTTAGAGGAATACAAGTAGCTGAGGCCTCATTCAACTAAATTATAATGTCAACTTATAGCGAACAGTTTCATATGCCATTTGGGTGTCCAGTTTTCCCTCTGAGCTTCAGCTTCCATGTTTCAAAGGGTAGTGATAACTTCCCCGATGGCTTGTCCAAGGGCAGGCAAAATTGGAGGGTGGGTCCAGTCCCTGATTGAGGGTTATCTATAGTATCTGCAGGACCTGTCTTACCAGGTGAATAACAGGATTGACAATGTGCTTGAAATTTCATTGGAAATGGCAATGCACGGAAACAGCCAGTGCACACAAAAAACAGGCAGACCTCATGACCTGCATTGTTTCCATCCACATTGAGCATTTTAGTTTAACATAAATGACTCAAGGATCCTACAATGTGTGTAGGAGAGATAAGCTCAAGATATAAATCCATGGGCCTTTATGTCTGAAGCACGTAATTAAAAGTTTGGTGCTGAGCTTGCTTGGGCTCTGGCAATCTCTATGCTAGTAAATTCAAGTATACCAGGAACTGGACGTGAGAATATGATAATTTACACTAATAAACTGTTAGTATATTCACTGACTTGAATTTTGACTGTTTCGGCTAGTTATCTTCCTGGAGAATTCTAGGAAAAATAAGTTTTGGTAGGTAAAGTAGTCTAGGGATCATTTACAATAGGCAATTTGTAGACAGCAAACCTGTTTTGGAATTATCTAGGATAAATTTGGCTCTTTCCACTTCACTTAGTCTTAGATATCCAGGGATATTCCTGGTCTCAGCTAATTGACCAAGCTGCTGTGCCTGGAAGATTTCCAGGGTTCAGTCTCGGTCTACATGTGAACATGACCTGTCTGTAGACATGATGGAAAGAGAATCTGGACCTCAGAATGGATCTGAATCCATGGCTTGTCAGAAAAGAAATTAAAGAAAACATAGTTTTTCTAGTAAGTGTGAAATTACTGAAACAGAAGTAAGTTCTGTTCTCGAATGAAAACACAAAATACCTCAAATGTCACCACAGTACATGAAAGTACTACAGTAAACAGTGCAAATCAATTATTTCAGTTTTATGAATCTGCAAAGAAAAATGGCTCCTGTGACAAATTGTTATTGAATCTGGGAATCCAAACAGTCTTTCCCCAGTTCTGAAAATAATCATTTAGACTGAGAACTGGTAGAAGGCTTTTGAGCACATGTTCCGATATGGAAGCATCATTACAAAAATACCATAATCTGCTTCTCTATTTCTTCTCTACTACAAAGTACTGTACAACAATGCTACTTCTATACTAATTAACTCGCAAGCTAAGACTCAGAGGGGTGAGGCAAATGAGGCAAGTTAAAGTTCACATGGCATGCACGTGATATGGAATCCCATGGCCCGTAACACCCACAAAATGCCACAGGCATTTCGTCTGTGTTCTTCCTTCATGCAAAAGTCAGTAACAGATATTTTGTGGGAGAGTTTCAGCTTTCTGAACTGTGTTTTACAGTTCTTACCAAATCCTGACAGGAATGCACAGAAGTCGCTCTACTGTGTCTTGAAAACAGGGATATCTAGGTTCAGTTATAGGATTGGGGCTTTACTTCTCTAAGGGATTGTTGAGACAAAATGCAGAGGCAACTGAATAGGTAAAAGAGTACTCTGCCTTGAGTATTGCAGAGGTTGATTGAAAGACAAGATTTTAAATGTAAAGAGTGCCCTTAAATACAGTTTTCTACAGTATGTTACAATCTCTCATTTAGTTTTCTATTTACTTCATGTCTGTTAACCATATTTCATAATTCTTTAATACATGAGTATAAATGTAAAATCAGACATTCTTTATAAGGTGATTTTAAGTTAGAAACTTTCTTTTTGGAAGGGGCATAGCCATAGACTTTTCATTCCTAGGAAACATTGATATTTAGAGATTTTGAAGGGCATGGGTGGGATCTAGTCCCTTGTTAATTTTCAAAGGGAGATAAGCATCTAGTTCTCTGCAATCCTTCCTCTAATTCTTTCCCCTAGGAAATATGTGTCAGAGCCAGGAAGAGAAGTCAGGTCCCTTGTCTGTAAGTCCTTTGTTTACATTGTGAAGCCATCTTTTGCTTCTGGTTCAGAAGCACCTGCAGTTATATTATTGAGGGTATAACTATAGAAGTGATGTAGTCCTCATGCTTCAGGCCATAGGATTTTTGTCAGATAGTGAAAAACCCCAAATTTCTCATGGGATAAGATTGCATATGATACAGTTCAAGGGTTTTCAGCTCTCTTTTAGATGTTAGGCATCCATTGTACAAAATAGGATATCAGATTAGATGAATTATTGACTTAGTTTATTACAACAGTTTTTAAACTATCCCATTTTGCTAATGTTTATCTTAAATTATTCTTAGTATCTGAACCCGTCAAATAAGGCTGACAAAATACTTGAATTAGCAATGAAAGAAAAACACTGGAATAACAAATACTTCTGTTTTTTTCCTTTTTTATTGCCTCTTTCATTTGTTTGTTTATTTGCTAATAATTGCACATTAAATTTTATTTATCTGTCTCACATACCTGAGCAAAAGACCACTTGAAAATAATTAACATTGAATCCGATAGTAGGGAAGTCTGCCCTTATTTTGGAAGTAGGCCATCTATAGAGTAACTGTTAATATTAAAAGACAAATTTGAAGGGATTACTCAGCATAAGCAGCAAAATTTTGTATTGTACTCTTTCAAAGCAATAGGTAGATCTCTACTTTTGTGTCTTAGCTAGATGTTGACATAGACTTGCCTATAACATTTGTGAAACAAAGCAAAAATCTCTTACAGTTCATGTAATCATTAACTTAGAAATTCTGTCTTTTCTGAGCTTTGTATTGTCTTACCACACAAGATCATCACATTAATATGTTTTCTCCATTAGCAAGTTACGAAGTTGTCTCCACTCTTCTACTCAGCTTTGGAAATTATGCCTATTTATGCACACTAACACCCCATCAAATAAGTTCTTCAGTATGAATGATTTATCCATCTCTGCCCTTCAGTAATAGATCTAATGACCAGTTATGAAACTGCAGTTCAGCCCAAAATAACTCTTCCCACCCTTTTCACAAACAGTCCCATGAACAATAGCTAATTGCCAGTTGTCTCAACTTAATTAAATTCTCATCAGTTCTCATGCTGTGGCAAGAACTCTCCCAAGCTACAGGAGTCAGGAAGAGGCATTATTCAAGAGTAGGTCTGAGTCAGTAGGGCATGGTAACCAAGCATGTGACTTCATGAAAAAAACAGAAAAGATCTAGAAAAGGTGAGATGCTGACTTTACCCAGACTTGTAAAGGTGAAAGTTCATGTAAGCTTTAATTGTTCAACTTGACAGCATTGTCCGCAGTGCTGCATCTAATGCTGCTGGCATAACTGGGGTTGACAGCGAGGTGGAATGGCCTGTAATGCTTCCAGCTGTTCTTAGAAATGCACTCGGTTGCAGAACTAAAGAATTCTTTCTCTTACTGGATTGTGTCATTTTTTATATTCACAGAAGGAGAAATGCAAAGGTATGCCAACAAAACACTTATTCCTTTACAGGAACTTCCCAAGTTTCTTGAAGACCTTGCTTCAACTGATGCTGATCTGCCTTGGAACAGGTCTAAGAATCGTTTCCCAAACATAAAGCCATGTACGTGTATTTGTTGATCAATTCCTCCATTTTGCTCTCTACCTTCAGTTGTGCAGTGTATATTTGGAATGCAACTCTGTTTGTTTGATCTGCCTTTGAAATGGCAGTACAGTCATTTCCACATTATGAAATAATTTTCTGCCAAGTAATCTGTCTTTTCACTGTATTTTTTTAAAGACAGTTTTATTTGCAAGTAGCTTTAAACTTGCGCTCACAAGCTTTAACATGCAGGTGCAAGGAACTGTAGCCTCAGTAGTTTCTTAGCTTTGTAATTCAAACTCTTTAACATTCTTCCTCATCTTTTTTTTTCCTCTTTAGTGAGAAGTAATTTTTTTAAACATATAAAATCCACATGTCTGTGCATTCAGCTACCTCAGGAGCCAGGGTATGCTTTCTTGTGAATATGTGTACATATGCTGCAAAGGTTCCACAGAAGATCAGAGTGACTGTATGATAACTTATAAGCCAAGGCTAGATTTTATCACAGGAGACAGGAGTCTGTTTTCCTGTGCTCAACACTGCTTCATTTTTCAGTTAATAAGACAAGAAATGTCATTATTATTTTAGGCATTAGCTGTGATGTGAGATGGGGAGCATGGCATTCCTTGGTTAATAATGCTACATTCTGTGCTATTAACTTTTCAGAGCAGCTGTTCCTGTTATCTACTGCCTTGTTCAAGACATACTCCAAGTTACAGTCACTAAAAATTTATTTATGAAATATAAACAAATAAGTTTCATAAATCTTTAACTTTGTATTCTTTTTTTTTTCACTAATTTGAGGACCAAACATAAAATTTCGAATGTTTGGTTTCAGCATTTACCTATTCACACGTAACATCTTTCCTAGGTTTTGTCATTTCTGCATATGTACTGTGGGCCCAAATCAGAAACTCTCAACCATTATTTTTTCTGTAATGATGAGCTTACGTTATGTAAAAGAATGTAAAAGTGCCAAGATCTGGCTCAAATCTGTTACCTGGACAGCAAGTATATAGGAAAGACTGTGCCAGACCCTGGACCCTGCTGATTCACACAGGTTGTCTGTGCTAGAACAGCATGGCTTAAAGTACACAGGCTACATTTAGGCAGAGGATCCTCCCATACATACATCAGGTTTGAGGTTTTGGCATGTTCACCATTTTAATTAAAAAGTATTTTATCAAAGTATGTATGGAACATTAAAGGATCACTGTAGAAAAATGGAAATAGTTCAAATTCCCTTTGTAATTAGTGCGCTACTATGTCAAGTATTGTTAGTTAACAACAATAACAGTATTTTTGATTTCTTAGCACTCCAGGAACAGTTGTTACATGTGTCTATGTTTTTTTGAAACAGATCTGTTTGTTTGTTAGTTAACGAGACTTTATTTCCATGATAGATAATAACAACAGAGTAAAGCTGATGCCTGATGCTGGTATTCCTGGATCTGACTACATTAATGCCAGCTATGTGTCTGTAAGTAGAAAGTCTCTTACATTTTCACTGTATTTGTTTTCTGGTAGAATAGAGGGTCAAAAAATCACTTGCAAGAAGAACAGGATTCTAATTTTTCTTTCATTCACTACAGCTACTGTTGCCATGGCATTGTTCAAGTCACTCCTGGAGCATTGAGCATGACTAGTTCAAAATATAAATTGTCCCATTTTCATTGCTCAGCAATGATTTTCAGTAATAATCAAAACTCTGTGCAGCAGATTAGTTTTTATGAATTGTCACATATCGTTATCATCAAAGACAAGAGTGAACCTCCCACTGAGGTCAGTTGTTTAGTCAGGCATTATTTGGTCTCTTGGTTTGGCAGTTGGAGTTATTGTATATGAACAGGGCAGTGTAAACATAGCTGAACTGAAAAATTTCATAGAAATAGTAATTTCGGTGAGCAGTATTGGCATATCATTATTTTGTGAAAGTTATGATGGAGTAAAATGCAATTAGGCTTCCTGAAGAAGAACCTAATTTTGTATTTCTCATCCTCGGCTTTCTTCCTAGACCTTCCATTTTCTAATTGTATTCCCAGTAGAGTCTTCATCTATATTTTTATCTCATTTTCATCCTGTTGAAGATCCAAGTGTGACATAATTATGCTTTTACTTTGTTGTAATAGTGGCTGGTGGTCTCACATGCAGTCAAGACTTGATGTGCACTAAGCACTATTCAAACTCATAGCTAGATTTGCAGACTGTTGTCTAAACAGATGACACAATGGCAAGTAGAAATAGTTATTTCCAGGTAACTAAGAGACATTCACAGAGAATAAGCAATAGAGCTGACAGCATCTTCCTCTTTAATTAGCAAAAACTATTTATTCCCTTTACATGGAATGTCCTAGTTCTGGCAGTTAGCAGGTAGGAAGAGCTATGACACATTGTTAGTTGGTGTTGGGACTCTACACAGAACCGCTGAGAAGGAGACCATACAGCTTGGAGCATGGCCTAGTGTTTACCCTTCCTATCACTAACTGACATGCCAAGGCTTATGCAGGGAACGACAACAGCAGCTTCCAAAAAAGCTGCAGCAAAACCAAG